TCGGTCGGTGGCCAAGGCAACGCTCACCGACTACAAGAAGCGGATGGAGATCTTCCTCGCCTGGGCCGCCCAGGCGTCGGCGACGTGGGCGACCGTGGCGGGGCTCGACCAGGCCGCGGTGGAGTGCATGGACCGCCTCTTCTTCTTGGGCTGCCCGGGCGACGCGGCCAGCAAGACCTCGGCGGCGGTGAAGTTCTTCCACCCAGAGGTCGGGCGGCGCGGCAACCAGAGCTTCCCCCGCGCGGCGCGGGCGCTGGCGGGTTAGAGCAAGGTGGTGCCACGCGCCACCAAAATTCCTGCGCCGCGGCTGCCGGCTGCTGCGCTGGCAGGGCACGCGGTCGCGAGTGGGCTGTTGGAGCACGCCATCGCGCTCCTGCTGGCGTTCCACGGCTACCTCCGGCCAGGGGAGTGCGACGCCATCACGAGCCTGCAGTTGATCCCGCCGGTGACGGGTGCCGGCGCTGGGCAGCAGACGTGGGCCCTGCTGCCGGGGGCAAGCGAGCTGGGGGGCCCAACTAAGGCGGGCGCCTACGACGAGAGCGCGGTGCTCGACGGCACCCCGTACCTGCGCGACTGCCTAGCCGTCCTCAAGGCAAGGTGCAAGTCCCAAGGCGATCGGACCTGGAGTTCCCCGCGGAACGACGTGTCCAGGCAGATGCAGGCATCCGCGGAGGCCCTTGGCCTCGAGAATCTGGGCATGACGATATACGGCCTGAGGCGCGGCGGCGCCTCGCACGACCTCCTCTGCCGGCGCCGCTCGGCCCTCGAGGTCAAATCAAGGGGCCGCTGGAGGAGCGACGCGATGCTCGAGCGGCACGGCAAGGTGGCCAGGGCATTGGTAGAATTGCAGAAGGCGCCGGCCAGCACGCTTGAGTTCGGGCAGCGCGTGGCCGCCCGCCTCCGCGAGATTTTCACGGGCCAATCGGCCCCGCCACCAGTGCCGCCGCGTCGTCTGAAAATCGCCTGAGTGACGACCAGGTTCGGATCAGGATGCGCCGTGTTTGGAGGCGAGCTCTTTCTAGCTCCTCGGTTTTTAGAAAGCAGGTGTTCCTTGAATTGTATGCCGGGCAAGCTGGCTTATCCAGGGCCATGCGCAGCCTTGGATCCGGGGTAATTTCTGTAGATATCTTTCGGCAGCCGTGGTTTGATCTAGACCAGGCCTGTGTCCAGGAGGGGGCTGGATCACTGGGGGGTCGTTGTCGGTCTTGGGCACGCCTTGCTGTTCCTGGTCCCACGCGCGGCACGGACCTCCAGGGTCTAGCTGGTGCCGCCTTCGAAGCTCTGCCCACCTCTGGGGTCTCCCAAACCTCGAAGGGCGTTCCCTCCAAGCTTGCCGTCGGGGAAATTCGCAGCTCAAGTTTTGTTTTTTCACTGATCCGTACGTGCTGCCGCCTCCGAATCCCCGTGGCCCTCGAGAACCCGAGTACGAGCTGGATGCGGCAGATTCCTCAGCTGGCGCGCCTCTGCAAGAGGCAGGATTCGCGTGCTTGTGTTGTGGGCTACTGTGCCTTCGGTTGTGGGTGGCGCAAACGTACTCGGGTTCAGGTCTGGGGATCAGGTTTTAGTATCAAGCTCCCGAGTCTCTGCCAGGGGCGTTCGGGTGTGTGCGGTTTTACAGAGAGACGACACATCGTGTTCACCGGAATTGACAGAAGCTCGGGCAAAGTTTGGACGCGAGCTGCTGAGCCTTACCCTGCTCGGTTTTGTAAGTTGTTTGCCCGAGTTTTCGAGCAGTATATAAGCAACCTTCAACTCTGCCGTTTCCGGCAGCTTATACATCAAATTAGCGGCTTCTACCAGAAGCCCATTCGGGGTGTCTTTGGGTTTCTCTTCTTCTCTCTCATTCGTTGTTGTTGTGTGTTGTGTGGTGTGTGTCTTGTGGTGTTGTTATGTTGCTGTTCGTCCTTCTCCTCCTCTCTGCTGCCGAGCCCTGCCCGAGTGCCGCCCTGTCCTGCTGGACACGCCTGGCCCGCGACACACAACATCGTGTCCTGGCCTGGGGGAGCTTCACGATGGGCAGTTCTAGAACAGTAGTCGTAGAGCGGTTGAAGGCCGTGCAATGTCTCCGAAATTTCTTCGGCTCAAGCCTTTTTCGTACGTGCCTGCTTCCTCCCCGTTTCTCTTTTTCTCTCTCGTTCGTTGTTGTTGTGTGTTGTGTGGTGTGTGTCTTGTGGTGTTGTTATGTTGCTTTTCGTCCTTCTCCTCCTCTCTGTTGCCGAGCCCTGCCCGAGTGCCGCCCTGTCCTGCTGGACCCGCCTGGCCCGCGACACACAAAATCGTGTCCTGGCCTGGAGGAGCGTCACGATGGGCAGTTCTAGAACAGTAGTCGTAGAGCGGTTGAAGGCC